GAAATAGTAGTTTTCCTACGAGTTTGAAAAGTCTTTGTTTGCGAACCGAGAGGTTTGCGGCCCGAGCCGAAGGCGAGGTCCGTAACGAGGTTCGTAAAGGAGACTTTTCGAACGAGTATCGGAAAACTGCTTTTTTGCCCGAGGAAGTACCAGCCTCCCAAAACCACCCGAGGGCGGAAAAACTTTTTTTTACAGCAAATTTTCATCTGTGGTGCCGTCCTAATAGTTTAGAAGGCAAAAATGATCAGAAAAAGTGGTTTTTGGCCTTCTACTATACAAAGTTGACACTTAAAACTATATCTTTGTATTAGATGGTTGTAGATCATCGAAAGATAAACTCTTAACATGATTTGTGAGTACACTACTGTAGTTGTTGAAGTTTGTGTTGGAGCTACTATTTTTGCTTTAACGATAAATTTATCAGTCGTGCCAAGTATGTAAAAGTTCAGTCTTTTACATAAATTTAGGCACATGTTTTCGAAGGATTTTTATGCTACACATAATATCCGTGCAAAGCCTAAGTAGTTGTCGGATCATTATATTTCTTTCCAGTTCTAATTAAATGCAATGAGAAGAAAACGAGAAGAGAACTTACCAATAGTTCTGTAGGACCAATTAATTACTAATAGAAAATAATTTCCGTTAAACAATGTGTAAAATTATCTTAAATTTAATCAAGAAATCTCAACATAAAAATAAAAAAACTTAAGCTTAGTTTTTATGGTATTTTTTTAAATCTGACTCTAATTAACAATTTCCGTAAGATAATTTGTCCAAAAAAATTACTATTTACATTAAAATGCACAAAATCAAAAATAATGATGGTTTTATACGTAATAAAATACTGCCGTTAGGTACATATTGATGAATCAAAAATATTGTCTTGACCTTCCTAACTATTGAATAAAGTGTTTTCTAACAATTAAAAAATAAGAACTGAAACTTATACATTACTTTTGTGTGAAATTAATTAATTATGAATAAAATGTAAATTAACTAAGCTATTATACTACTAGTATATTTATTAGTAACATGCAAAACGTCCAAATACCCATATGGAAATACTTTTTTTTAATTTTAAATGATGATGCTACATTGATTTTTTTCTATCGACAGTAGCAATCTACTAAGAAATACATTTTAAAGAGATTATTTTATTTAAAATGCAATAAAGAATATTATATTGCATGTAAGAAATAAAAAAGTACAATTTTCTTTTGATCAATAACAATGGATGTAATTTACAAAAACATTGCTATCAAGAAACTTTCTGCTCATTCAGTAACAACAATTTTTCAGGCAATTTAATAAAAACAATAATTTATCCATAAAATCTTTCCGAGCAAGACTTGATATTTAATTTAAACTCGAGATGATGGTTTATAATATCTAATAAAAGATAAACTGCAATATTTAATACAAGCGTGTTTAAATATAGGTACTGTCACTGGATATAAAAATTAATTGTTAGGTTGTCAAACTTAATTAAAATAAACATTTGTAATTCGAACTACTTTTAGTTTGAGGTAATACTTGACTATTATTATTTATTGTAGTTATTATTTTCTTCAAAAATGTTTGATTTTTCATTGAAATGTAAAATCATCGTCTGAATTATGTGCTTTAATTATGCACATCATTTACTTCAATTTGATGAGCTACGACATAAAAAATAACTTGAAAATTTTCTTACCACCAATAAAAATTATACCAACATAACAAATCTAATAATTTTTTTGTCACTCTAAATCACGTACGCACACAAAAAACTTACTATTCGTATCAACTATGATAAAACATACATAAAAGATCTTTGTATTACATTTATATAAAAAATCCTGATGCTTGCGACACGCACCACCAAATACAAAAACTACCATTGTACGACTTGGCAATCTCACACGCACCATATCAACCGACTCAGACAACAGAATATGATAATATTACCAGAAAATTTTTTACTGCCATTAGGTCGGTCAGATAAATAATAGAAAACACAATACTTTTAATTTTTTTACGTAAACAATAGCTGATGAAGATCCAACTGTTATAAGTTTGAAGCTACGTCACTGCGTATAGTAAAATGCTACATTTTTAATGCATGTAATCCTATGACACCACTTTATCAATAAAGTAACTTTGACACGCTCTATCTCTGTCAGTTTTTGTGTATGTAGAAAAAGAAGAAGTAAGAGTTTAATAATTTTTGACAATCTACCGGACAAATCTAATTTTTGGTATTTTTTCAATATACCTCGACTAATCATAATTTAACGTGAAGTAAATTCCCCATTATCGAGTCACAAAAGCAAAAAAATTACGTTATATTCTCATTGTTTGGTTTTTACACGCTTGTTTTGCTTATTGAACGATTCCGTTTTAAACTCCCCAGGAAAATTGAAAAATAAATATTTTCATCTAGAAACTAAACAAAGGTTTCTTTAATTATTGACTGCCTTGAAAATTTTTTACAATTTATCAATTTAACATAAAATCAGTAAAGAAATAAGTTAAGTCTTACAAAAGTATTATCTAATGTGAATAAAAGAAACTTTTGGTACATCATGAAGCAATTCTGTGATTGGCAATGCCTTATAAGACAGGGCAATATCTACAATTTTTTAAATATCTCTTGTGATACGTTCCAAAAGAAAAACATTTTGACACGTACACTATACTCTCGGAACACAGTACCACGAAACGAGACTATTTTAAAGCCATTTTTTTTAAAGTTGCTACTCTAAACTTTCTTCTGCAATAAGTATTGAAAAATCAGAGCATACAACCACAAAGTTGTTGCCCGTGAAAAGTTTCCACTTTCCTCTACTTTTTTGTTCTTGAAAGTTTTTTCTCGATTTTTCGAAATACGGTGGGCGTATTGGTTGCAGGCGCAGGTGTGGAAATTTCGTGCATTTGTGCCCCGTCAGCTGGCTTTTTTCTTCTCGCGACGACGACACCACCACTACTGGCGGTGCTAATGCAGGGTACTTGTGCTACTTTTCAGAAAACTTTTACCGAGCGAAGCTGTCTCGGTTTTTCGTGACGTGTTACCGAATTTTTAGGGCTTATTTATTGAAAATTTACTGATAGAGGCTACTTAAATATAATTTCTTTAACAATATTGATTACGCACTGTTAAAAATCATTAGACGCGAAGACGAAGGTTGTCATACGGCATCCTATTATTCAGTCAGTGTTATTTAGTCCATTGGAAATTAAGTTGAAAGTTACAAATTTTTTAATGTAATGCTCGAACGGAGCCTTTTGAATACAGGAAGAAAAAATATCAACTTTTGATGTAGGACTTATTTCGTATCAAAGAAATATATAGTATAAAATATTGTAAAAATCTGAGGGCCTTTAAAAACTACGAATCAGAAATTTAAATTATCTCTTGCTAAAACTCGTATATCAATTTAAATGGTACATATCTGTTTATAACTATTTTAATACACATTTTATTGTTTCAAATAGTGTAAAATAATTTGAAAAGAAATGTCAGAACTATTCTAAACAAATGAAATAATGTAATGATTTATCTTCAAACATTGACGATAGATTTTGACTTTACACAAGCAAAGGACAGTTACCATTGAATACGGCTATTCGCAAAAAGCTCAAGAGACTGATCGTCGATGGGAAAGTGCCAGTTAGAGTGAAGAAACAATTCCACTAGATCGATAAGTATAAAAGAGACTCCAAATTGACATCTCATTTGCTTGACAACGGTACAGTTTTATCAACTCTTGGAAGAAGAAAAAGCACGTGAAACAAGATTTTTTTACCCGTGTACATATTTATAGATGTACTCCACGAACCATCCAACGCTATCTATTATCGCACTCTTGGCTCACTTTCCTCTCGATTTCCCCTTTTTTTTACGCTAATGAGAGAGCTAATCGCAAAGTGCATTAAATAAATCAACTTAGCAGAGCTTTATCTTGCGAATTCGCGCTTCGCGGAGCATATTCGGTTGCAGGGGAGAAAAGGAGGCCGTTAAGGAAGTTAGCTTACCACCAAAGTCTGATCCGCAGTGAACAGTACGGTACTTTGCTGGTATTGTGCTGTGCGGGACGAAAAACTCACTACTGCTGAGTGCAGGTGTACTGCCATTGGTACGCCGTGGGACTCGTCCTAATCCTTATCCTGGCGTCTTTCTAGACCCAAAGAAGTAGGGCACGAGATTCTCTTTGTTGTATTCAAATAAAGCTTTTATTGCTGCTGGTAAGGCAAAATAGCGTGTTTTTTACGTTCGTATGTCAGGGAACCAAAGCCAATGGAACTGCTGTCTTTTTATGCAGTTTTGCTCGAGCCAAATTGCTTTAATTTCCAGGCTCTTTGATAACGAATGGGAGAGATTTTTCTGTACACGCGTTGGTATGTGTGGGCAAGCGCCTTTTTAAGTGGATCGTCGTCACGTACGCGTGTGAGTTGGCAAATGGAATTTAAATTGGTATTTAATTCACGGATTATAATTTAATTCTTGGTCTCGCGATGGATTTTCAATTTCAGCCGGATCGTCGTGTCGTGTTCTACTTTTTAGCTTTGTTCGAGCTAATTGGAAACTTTTACTTTGAACTTTTGTATCTCATTGAGGTGGTAATTTTTCCATGTACAATTATAATCGAGGGACNCAGAGAAATTTGACTTATGAGGAGTATAAGTACAGAAATCTAGTATTTTTTGAAGAAAGCAGAGAATTTGATTTATTATAAATGTCTGTTGTTGATTAATTTCAGTCATAAAGAAAATTTTTCTTTCTAGAAATGCATGTATATACGCTTATTCAACAGAAAAAGTTAAGTATCGAAAACATTGTACTCCGCTGAGTTTCAAAGATTGTGACCTGATTTTACAGTACATCTTGAAAGTCGGGAAAACATACCTAGAAAATAAGGAAAAGTTTGACAGCTTGCTGCTATGCTTTCGAAATCAATAAATCAAGTAAATTCGAGAAGTTCTAAAATGCGAATGCCTCCAGTTTTTCATACTTTTCTATCCTTGAGCTTTTCTCATTCACAAAACAACAAATTGATGTGCTCAAAATAATCAAACATCCATAACCGGGTATTTTTGGAAGTATGAGACATGCGAGTAACAACGATACCATCGTAAAAAGGAGAATTATTTCGAATGTAGCCTGTTTATTGGTTATGTGATTGGTTTAAGCTCAGATCACGTGGCTATACATTTATTAGAATGCACTTCTAAGGCAAAATATTAATTTTCTAAATTTTTTTACCATTGGCTTTATTTAGAGGGATTCCGCCGCCCAACCTGATAAATGTTTCTTAAGTTCTAAGAAATACGTCGAAAAAAAAATTATTTTAAATCGGGTGCTGTTTCCTAAGTTTTCTGTATTTTCCGGCTTATTTACTTCATTATATGGGTTTCTAACTACAGAGCCTAAATTTTAGCTTAATTTATTCTTTAAGAGTGAAAGAATTGGCTTTTACTAATCTTTTTGTGAGTATATAGCTATTTTTAAATCAATAATATGACAAAGTAAATATAAATAAATACCGTGCAATTAATATCGGTAGTATCCTTTAATGATATTTGGATAGCCCCTCAAATAAAGCTGTTATTGTTTATAAATAAAATAAAATTTATCTTTGATTCAACATTTATTTTATTGTACATCATGTAATTCTAGTTAAACTGACCACAGTCAAATTTCAAACCTAATTTAACGAACTATTGGCGTAACCAATGGACTTCATATCATGCAATTACTTGAATGGCTTGTGATAGAATTTAATAGACACATTTTAAAATAACACTAAAAACAATTTTGCTAGAGGTATCCTACCTTTGATCCATAAAAACAAAGTACGGCACAGTCCAACTCACCCGTCAAAATTTCCAGACTAGCATCGGTACTGCGGGCGTGGAGTCTTTTTCTGCTGAAATCTTCCCCATACCTACTGCTGGACTTGGCATCTCGCTCCTCAGATTTGGCTCGCACATCCGATCGTCCCATACTGCCTCGATAATGGCGCCGATCGCCACGGTCCTCCGTTCTGTAGCGCTTATCAAATTTCTTGAACAATCGGTGACCTGGGGTATGCTTCGTCGAAGATGACGGTTTGTGACCAGCATCTGGTGAGTCTGCGAAACCAGCTGGTGGCTGGACGATTTCCTCTGGTACCTTGAACAGTCGGTACCCAGCTTGTATGAACTTTGCCCTGACGAATAAAAGTCAATTGGAAGGTGGAAAAACAAAATGACATAAACCTCTCGACCACAGTGATGGCAGTGGGCTTGGTCTACGGGTTGCTCCTCAACGCTGAAGAAAACACTATCACTGCCAGGGCTGACAGACCTTAAGCTTTCAGCTGACATTGCCTTAAGCCTCACTTCAGGGCTTGGTGACTTGCCAGCTGTGGGTGGCGAGTGTCCACTCTGACCGTAACGGCTTGAGTTGCCACCGGGGCTCAGTCGGCTACTCGAGCACACGTACTCCACTGCCTGGCGCGATCGCCGTCGAGGTAAGCTACCCGTCAGAGCTGCGTTCTTGTCCTTTTAGAGGAAATTTAGGATTGAATTTACCATTGTGTCTTTAAAAACAGTTATTATTTTTTTCCCTACGATATAGTGGAAAAAGATAAGTAAGAACATATAATAGATTCAGTTTCAAACTAACTCTTTGCACAAAGCCCAAAAACATTCATAATCTACTCATAACAACGTGGGATTGAAAAAAAATATATATTGTTGGTTATAGTGATAATATCAGTCCCAATAACCAGAAACTCACGTTACAAAAAAAAAATTTCAATTAATTACTAAGAATATACTTATTAAATGAATCTTTTGAGTAGAATCGTTTAAAGTGAAAAATCTCTTAAAAAAATATAATATTTGCTTCTATAAAAAAAATCTGTAACAAATAAAAAAAAACATTTTTAATGAAAATAAACTATATTTTGTAGAGAAAGTATATTTAATTTCTAGTGTTTTAGTAACTATTATCTTGGTTTATATATTTTTTTTAATATAACTTTATTACCACAAAATAAATATTCATGATTGATAAAATACAGTACACATTTGTAAAATGACATTTAATGAATTTTTTGCCATCGTACGTAACAGTATAAAAAAAATTGTTAGATTTAAAAATAAGTTTTTTCCATACAGTATTTTCTGTTTCTGAACTATTTTTTGTGTTAATTTGATCTCTAAATTATTATTTTTTTTTGTATCTTTATGAAGGTGTCAATTTACTTATAAAAAATCAGTCATCAATTCTGAAAAAATTAGTATAGTCATCATAATATATGCAGTAAGTAAGTATAATTCTATTTACTAAAGAAGTATTTTCTTAAATGAAAATTTTTATGTTTGTCTGTACAACTTATTTTTAAACTTACAGCGAATTTAAATATTTGTTTTTTTTCAGCTCTAATGCATGGTTGTAGGAATATGAACTTATTATTACTTAACGGAATAATAATTTTTAAGTGTTAGATATAAACGTTAATCATATAAAATAATAACGAACTAGTTTCCATGATGATGTTGCGTCTATTGTTGTTTTTCGTTAAAACTCCCGTCAATTAAAAAAAAATTTTAATTCCAAAAGTTCATTTTTTATACGGTTAAATAAATGGCTATTTGAGAAGTAGAATATTAAATCAATTATTTAAAAAAAAAATTCTTTCTTTTTCCCTAGGACCATCCATGAAATATAGTTAACCTTTTCTCTTATCATATTATTACGCAAATATTTATGTGACATTTTTTAAATTGTATAATAATTATGTCTTATGTAAATTATACTATTTATGAAAATACTAATTATTGTTATTTGTATAAAAAAGTACAATAAAAAATACAGCGTGTTTAATAAAATTATTCATTACAGAATTATTTTCAACATATCCCAAACTGATTGCAAAATTAATCTTTTAAAACGCTTATTATGTAGCAATATCATGCAATTTTTAACTTTTCAATGGTGTTGCTTCATTACTTTGCTCACTTTTCAAAATAGAATAATTTAAAATTAAATTACCATTTGATAAATTAGTCAATTAAAATATAAAACTATTCAATTACTTCCAAATTTATACATAAATAATATTTGTAAGCTTATTGCATTCATATACTGTATGGTAAATACTTTATTATTGTAAGCGGCGAGCGAAATAAGGTAAAGCCCCATTTATATGTTATAGTACAAATATTGTATCTACTAACAAATGGGCAACAATAGCCAAAATGTGTTAATCTATTGTATGAATGCCGGATGAAATTAATATATAAGCTAAATATTTTTAAAAGATTTTCTCGATCATTTTTTCTGGTGGTATTGGTTTTGACCATTTTGATGAATACCATTTCGGAAGGTTGTACTTTATATCAAGGATGGGATATCTTTTTTATGCACGGAAATAATCTGACTAAAATCATTACTGTTATATGTAAAGAAGAATGTGGTTAATTTTTAGTTAATACAATTCTTTCAAATGACTCTGAATTCCCGTATTTTTCAGGTACAACTAGACGTGCTATTATAATTAACTCATGAGTACTTTCTACTGTTTTATATATTACCATGAATTTTAGTATAAGTTTAATTTTTTTCCAACTTGACTAGTTAAAATTTTCTAATGTTTGAATGGATTTTAGGTTCATTTAATTTATGAGTTTTTTTTTAGTTTGTAAATAATCTACGGTTTTTTATAAATGGGAATAAAAAACTGACATTGATTTTGAAAGAGGTTCAGGAAAAAACTTTGTAATACGTCTGTATTGTGAATTTTTTAAATTGGAGGTTTGTGTACTCATACCTATTTAGCAATTTGATCGCTCTATTTACAAAACGTGTTATACAAGCGTATAACTTCAGTTGCATTATTTAAATAAATTGTTTCGCTTTATTTAAAAACAATTTTTTTGGTTTTAAGTTACAGAAAAATATTTTTTTTTATAAATATGTTAATGACTTATATAAGTAGGGTAGGTGTATAAATAGTTTTATTGAACAACATTTTAATAGAAATGTTAACATATTAAAAATATCAAGTCATTTAATTTATCTCAGTTTTTATTAAATATCCACAACAACGACAATAGTTATTTACGTAACATGCGCGGGAAATCGTCCCGCACGAGTTGCGTACAAGTTTTTTCGCAATAAGTGTGCGGAAAATAGGTGTTTTCCGCACACTATTGCGAAAATTACATTTTGAATTGAGCTAGTTTGTTTGAGTATAGTTTCATATTATTATGGAAAATTTTCGAATAAGAAATCTCTAAAAAATTGGATATTCAAAACTTTATCGTAGCAAGGGTAAAAAAAAATTAAGGACCTTGATGTTCCACTTTAAAACTGTAACCTCAGCATAGATTAGAATATCCGATACTACTCCCATTTTTGTCAAAAGAGAAAAGCTTAATAAATTTTTAAATAGTATTTAGACTTGTAGTTAGTCATGTTCCAATGACAACTACTTGATAATTCAAGTAGCTTACTCGTCAACGACTTATCTCATATCAGAGTGCTTTCATATATCAAACATTATCAAGTACGTCCGATCCATTATGATTACGGTATTATATAATATTGAACATCAGAAAGTTTAGTGCTTTAAAATTTGTATAAAAGATAATTATTTCTTAATTCAAGATTAAGTATGTTTCAAGTGAGTTGTACTTCAACTTTTTAGAACCATACGTTTGACATAAAAAACAAAAATCTACCGCAGCAAAAAATTTTCTCAAAGACTTTGCCCGTCCAGCACGAAGTAATCGCAAAACTATTGTCGTGACAAAGCAAGCGACAAGTGGTTAAGGCCGACAGAGCCAAGTAGGTCGTTGGTAGAGGAGAGCTAGTCGAGATCCAGAGGCAACGAGGGTGGTGCGACAAGTGTCTTGCCTGGTCGTGAAAGAGGAAAAAAAGAAAAAAAAAAAAGGCGTAACATAGCCTACCTCATTGCTGCGCCGCCTGCCCGAGACGTGGGCACTACTCTTCCGACGAGGGCTCTCCCGGGACCTACGATGTCCGTGGTAATGTTGGTGGTGATGGTGCAAGTGGTAATGGTGGCTGCAACTCGAGTCGTCACTAGTTTGTACGTGACTCGGCTCCTCGTTGGCCACCCCTTCGTCCCTCGGAGGACTGCGGCCCTGCTGGGCAGGCTGCTGTGTCTGCTGCTGTCCAGGTGTAAGTGCCGGCTGGATATCGCTAATCGAGCGCCGCCGGTGATTGTTTCGATGGGGTGATCGCACGGCCGAGCTCTTGGTGCGTGAGCGATGTCTGGGTAATGGGCTCGTCGTAGACGTGGTCTCGTGCAGGCCTGTGGAGTCGGGCTCGGTGGTGCCATACGAAGTTGGCTCCTGGCCACCGGGAAAGTCCAGGCTGAAAGTCTTTTTCCGACGCCGGCGCTCTTCCTCCGTCCAGAGTTGCCGATCGGGCGGTGACTCGGCATAGCCACCCGACGATGAGTGATGGCTCTCCTATAAAATGGGCTTTTCTGTATGTTTGTTAATGTATGTTGCCAAGAATCGGGTGGCTTGTAGCTTTGTTGCGGTACTTGGTTTTTCATAACGATGACGGTGCGTTTTTTTTTCAACGCGTCTACGATGACTAAACAGAAAAAGCTCGCGGAAAATATCCTCCACAAATGTGGACTGTGATGCTTTTGAAATATCTTGCTGATGGGGCAGTTAAATTGACTAATGCACGTGAATGAGATAATCATTAGTTTATAGAATAAATAAAAAAATCACTTGTGATATAAAAACAAGTACAGAAAATAGAAAATAAAATAGCAATAGTCAAAGACATGAAGTAAAGAACCGATAAAAAAAAGGGCACGCAAATAAATCAGGTCTTTTGTGACTAGACCTAGTTGCAAATAAATAAAGAAAAGTTCTCTTATATGTATAAGGGAAACACAAAGAGCATAATATGTTTATCTATACGGTCTCGAAATACTATTACAACGTGACAAGTTTAGTCGTGCCTCTAAAAACATCTCAACATTTGGACACGCTCAAATGTTTAGAACAAACATCTGCATGATTCTTTCTCAGGCGAGATCTTTGGTGCCAGTCTGGCTGATGAAAAAAACTTGAGGGGAACAAAAGAAAATGTCAACTCACGTCAACGTCTTGCTCTGCGTGAACTGTGGGCTTGAAACTGTCTTGCTCGGGCGTTGCATCCTCTAGATCGTAGCTTCCGGAGCTGCTGCTGGTGGTCGACCGCGCCGGTGATGGTGGCTGCTGCTGGCCACAGTAGGAAGAGTCTGTTTTGTCCTTGGGCACGGTTGGACTACTCGGCTCCTCGAGTGCGGCCTGGTCGAGCTTGGTCGTTTTTATGCAAGATATCGAGCTCTTGAAAAAATTCATGACCACGGAGGCTTATTTTTTTGGGGGGTTTACGGGAAAAAATGTTGCTCTGCTTACGATGAAGAAAAGAAAAGCTTGGGATGTTTCAACGCAGGAAAACGCGTCTGGATGCTCGGGAAATGGAAATTTTAGTGAGCGCGGGAACGGAAGAGTGCAAGTTGCTCATGTGCGGATCAATTACTTCACACTTGACTTTTTTTCTTTCTTGCGGTAAAATTGTGTATGCGCCGTGCATTTGCGCTCTCGTGGTTATTTCGCAAATTTCAAACACATGCGCTTTTATATAAGACATTACACCTTGTACAGTTCCCAAGGGACCGAGTTGCAGTAGTTTTTAGCCACTAGGTAGAATACATGGAAATAATGTTGTAGCAAAATATGTTTATAAAATTGCAGCAGAAAAGATAGTTATTATTCATTTGATTAAAATGAAATTGTTAGCTTGCCGAGTGATAACTTTCTGTTCTGAATGTAAATAAGAACAAAGTGAATGATATATATAAAGGTGAAATGATTTATACCATGATTAACCTTATTTAATTTATAAAATACAGGTCTTTAGGAAAAAACGACTCTAGTGATTTTGAAAGAAATAATGTATGAAAAACCTCGAATCACTGTACTTTACGTATGATAAAAGTCATCAACAAGTGGCAGTTCATGAAGGAATTTGACGCAAATGTCTGAGAAGTCAAAGATGTTCATAACTAAGTGGGCATTTGATGATTTGATTTTATTTTATAATTTTCGAATTCATATTTAAACTGCAATCAGCCTTTGCCATCAATCCTCAAAGCGTTCAAGCTTGGAAGAAGATTGAATTTAAAAATGTATTTTAACAGGCAGCACGAATTTTTTTCTTTTTTTTGAGACCTTTTATTCTTAAATTTATGTGAAAGTAATCTAACAAGTTTAAAAAGTAAGTAAAATAGATCGCAGTGATTTAAATAGCGAGTAACTTTTAAAAAATTCTGATGCTAAAATGTATGAGCTTTCCACAATGCGAAGCTTGCACATCAAACACACTTACAGACTGATTTATTGAAATAAAAATTTGTTTACTGCCAATATAAATTATTAACTATTAACAAATCCATACCAAAGTACCGGAGGAAATTATATGCTACCAGTAAAGAAATTGGCGTCTCTTTATTTTGAGCGATACTTAGAAAAATCACCAAATAAACAAAGAGGGGCTATAGATACCTCGCTCCGGGCCAAACTGTAAACTGAGCTGGCGCTTTCAAAGGAGCTGCCTTCCGCAGTAGTGGCAGTGGCTGAGGCGGGTGCGGACGGTCCAGCAGGCAGGTAAGGCGACCTCGTGAGTGAGCTTGTGGTGCCGCCCGTGGTCGTTGTGGTCCCGATATCCGTCGATGTGTTGGCAGTGATATAATCGTCGGTCGTTGAGGTCTCGCTTATGTCGGTTGTACCGCTACGACTCAGTCCAAACTCACTTGTTGACTGCGAGTGGGGTTGCGACAGTGACGTCTTTTCTGGTTGTTGGTGTGGACCTGGACTCCACCTGAGATAGCCGATGCGGGGCCGGACGTTTGTCGTCTCATTGCTTTTTCCAACAGTGATACTTTCAGAAATGTACCTCGGAAATTTATTAGAGATCTCCAGCTCTAACTCAACACGAAATCAGAACTCAATTATGTTTGTTGGCCTTAGTCGATATTTCTGGTCTAACCAAGCGTACAACTCATTTTAACTTAGCTATATTTCGGAGTTAACGTTTTATCGTCAATGAAGTCAGAAACGTTTACATTTTTAGAATGTAACTTTGTTAAGTCTATAAATATAAATTAATAAGCAATTTGTTACAACAACACAGAAGAAGAAGAAGAAGCCTAGAAATATATTTAGATGTACAACTACTATGTGAGAGATGTATTATGCGGATACGATAGAAATAAGGTGGATGTCCCAGTACTCGCTCACACAAGCAGACAAAATGTCCCAATAGTCGGTCACTATTTTTCTTTTATGGGCCTTCGTTATATTTTTAATTGGGTTCATATATTAACTTGTTTTAAAAGAGTAATTGCTTAGTGTCTGAATAGCTACCCGATTTATATATGTTTTCAAAATTTATAGTGAAAAAATAAGCCAGATGACCGACTATTGGGACATGACCGAGTACTGGGACATCGACCTTACCAATATTAAAATAGTTATAAGCACAAATTTAGTAGTGAATGCTTCAGGAAATTCCAGCCTCCAATTGTCAATAATATTGAACCAATAAACATAAAAATATACTAATAAATAATTGAAATCATGCAGAATCCGTTTTTATATTTCTAACTAGAAAAAAAGTTTTAGGTATTTGGAATGAAAATTAGCTCTTTTCACATTTTTGCTTACTGATAAATTTCAACTCATAATAAAAGTGTCAAAGGTATAACGAGTTTACAGGTTTTATAAATTAAAACTTTACCTTTCCAATGCCATGGTTGAAAAAAAAAAAGGTAATTGAATTCAAAGTTAAGATAATTGCAAAAAAGATAAAATACTGTGTTCATTTTCAGTAGTACAATAAAAGTTGGGCAGCCATATTGCATATGTAATTTGGCAGAAGGTTTACCAATTTAAATACGGAAGGAGATCAAAATTTAAGTAATTAGTGGTGTATTCAACATTTTTATGAATACAATTAGTTGTATAGTATTGTTACGTACGATATCATATAGCTATGTGTCCATGTGCCGTTTTAGGTAGAGGAGGAGACAGAAGTAAGAGACCGGGGAGATAAGCTAAAGACACCAAAGCAAAAAAGATTTAACCCGTGACACGCGTTACTTCTGTCAAATAATAGAGTAAAATAAAGTACTGATTGAGTACCATTATCTTTTGTTTATTTATAGACTGAGAAAAAAAATAATACCACTTTTGAAACTGTTTTGATAATATTGAATATACAAGAAAGTATAATGATTGTTTGAATTTTAGTAAATGGCCTAAAACTCACTGGCCAATCAATATCATCAGAATGAAGTGTAAAAATCAAGATAGATAAGGGGGTAACAGTAACTTGATCACTCAAACGATTTTTTTACTCAAATTTTATGAATCGAAAGGTACTAAGAAAAAAATATCCGTACAAAAAATTTAGGTCACTAGACTACTCCTGGTAAGTGTAAATGATCTAAACATGTTTTTTTATTTTTTTTTCTTAAATTTTTTTGGCCCAGTACGCAAAAATATCATTTTTCAGAGACGTTTCAATTGTTTAGCAAATTCTAGAAAGAGCCTTTTTTTGTGTGTGATTGCATAAAAATTTTTCTAATAAAACATACACTTTGTTTGTATAATCATCAATTTTTCAGATTTCAAAAAATTCAAAAAAAGTCAAAATATTTTATAATGGTATTGTTAAAGTTTTTGTGCTATGTCACTATTAAAAATGCAAAAAAAGCTCTGTAAAACCTTCTTTAAGTATAAATTTTTGAGAATTATTTTAAGGAGCTTTGTTATTGTTATTTGTTTTGATAATCTTGCACACAAATGCCTAGAATTTATTTATTTATATTATTACAGATTTTCTT